AATGACAAAAATGTAGGAAAGAAGGGGGGTCTGGGTCTTGGCAAATCAACCTCAAGGTCTGTTTAATTAGTCAGTGTAATCATTTGCCTATCCTACACTGCAGATTCAAAACTCTCCATCTCTAGGATTAATTTCAGCCCTGTCTAGATATATGAGAAGATCTGTCTTCACATTAATTTTGGGTTTACTTGAAAGTGGTTTGATTTCTGTTGCCACATACTGATTCTCATACAGGGATCTGCTTCTTGGTGACACTCATCCCTCATCTACTCATCTGGGTTTCTTAGACTTCTTTATGACGTGACTCTGATAACTTCATGCCTATTACGTGAATCACCTGGAGGGCTGGGGGACCACGTTTAAAATACAAGAATCAGTCCTTAAGGAGACAAGATTTTTAAAAATTCACTGTTTTCTGGAAATAGTTAGAAATTGAGGTGTTATAAAGGGGAATATATTCCAAAATCACACTGGACTGACAGAGGTATGCTGGAGCCAGCTCATACTGGCTTATGAGAGCTAATCATTGAATTTTCAAGGCTTTGTGAGCTGGCTGTTAAACACAGCCCTCATTAAATATTGTAGTATATAAATTTACAATTAAACAAATTATGTTCAAGGTGAAGTTAATAAAGACTCCAAACTCATCATTTCCCAATTATTTTGCTACATTTTACTGTATGCTCTTGACTATTTTCATCCATTGTCTATGATAGAAGCAATATGCAAGGGTATGCTACCATACAACCCTTTCAACTCTACATTCAGTGACATCATGTTAGTAGTATTTCCATGGAGTATTTACACCATAGATCTTGGTAGACACTGTCAATCAGAGTTTTTTCCTTATAAAATATTTACTGGCACACTCCTGGCTGGTTTTTAAATGTAAAATGAGAATGATAACAATAAGTGCATTATTAGCTTTGTATGAGGTTATAATAATGTAATTCATATAAGAAGCTTGGCTCGAGGCAAATCAGTCAATGATTTGGCTATGACTATGTCCTTCCCTGCCTTGTTAATAAGAGCATATTAAATAGCATATTACCTTAGAGCAATATTAAATATTATATCATCCTATCAGGGCAATCCTTAGAAGTATGAAGTAATATTGCATTGTGCTATCAGTACATTTGTAGGAAGAGATGAAGCCCTGTGGGGCATGGGATAGAATGACATTGTTACTTGACTCTTGCATGTGACAAATGTGTCTCACCCTCCAGCCCCCAGACTCTGGGAAGGTCCTTGTATCACATCAACTTGCTCAGGGTTTTCTGCTGAGACTTCATCTGCCTCTACCGTTCTCTCCTGTTTTCCTCTTCCACTTTTTGCTTCCAACACTTGCTAGGGGTGGCCTCTCCCTTGGTCTTCAGAGATCATTGAGGTACTTGCTAGAGGTGGAGATCATTAGTGCCTCAGTGATCTCTGAAGACCAAGGACAGGCCACCCCTAGTCTTTTATCTTCCCTTTTTGAGAGCGAACTGCCATCTCTCTGATACCAATGTGGTTCCTGCTTTTATACCACACCACCACAGTTTATATCTGTGCCACCTGACACCATTCCAACTTTTCATCTTTCTTCTCTCAGCTTCATTTTTCTTTTTCCCTTTTTGTCCCCATTGTCTTTTAAACACCTCTTTCAAAGCAGAAACTATTTTGAAAACCATTCCCCTGCTTGGCCAATGACTCATTTGAAACTCTTAAACCCCTACTATATACAGAATACATGTACTTGATACATATTCAGAATGAAGAAGCAATTTGTGCCAAGAGTTACAATATAGAGATATAAGAGCTACAGAAGAAAAAGAGGTTACATCTCAGAGGGGGTGGTGAGGGGAAGGCACAAAAGGTCAAGAATAACCCCACTTATTTGCAGTTTTGAGACCTTTCTGGGTGCCTGACAATGCTGATGAACAGATAACTGAAATTTTAGTTCATACAATGTCCTATGTATCCCAAATTATTTCTTGGACATCTAATTTCTTTAATTGCATTGTATTGTAATTTCATTAAGTGCAGAGGTAATTCTGTCAAATCAACCTCATTTTACTCCTAAGGAGCACATGTGTTTAAAGGCAGCTCAGTGCCTCCTCGGTAAAAAGTTTGCATCAAATGCTTATTGAACAAAAGAATAAACAATTCATGACTTGAGCTGAGCTTCATATAACCTCTATTGAGGAAAATCCTAATTATATTTTTAGAGATTCATAGAAATTCAGGAGTGAAAAATATCTTAAGCATTATTTAGTTTAGTAATTCCCAAATCTGGGATATTATTATAATTGAATAGGGGTGTGTTGGGATGGGTTATTTTTAGAATGTAGGCTCCTGACCTCTTCCCCAGACCAACTGAATTAGAATCTGTGTGTTTTGGAAACTAGAATCTTTGTGTTTTGGAAACTGTGTTCTAGCATTTACCAGGCCCCACTGCTTCTGCTGGGCTGTCAGGTTTTGGATCCACAAATGAAGTCTGACTTCATCTAGTCTCTGACAATTCATTTATTTCTCCATAAGATTGTAATAATAACACAACTGCAAACACTATGTTTTCTGGTTGTCTCCAAATCTCCAGCAATCTGGGATTATCTTTGCTTTTAGTGACAAGGGGAAATGACTTGTGCACCCCCTCACATTTGTGTGAGTGCCTAAAGGGAATTGGGTTTGTCTGAATCTTTCCATGCTTGAAATGTTTCCTTCTAACTCTCCAAGCTCTAATTATCCCTCAAGCCTGCAGGGCCATTCTCCTTCTCCCATTCTGCCTGTCACTGCTAATAGAAAATCACTAGAAAGGGTGTTTATAAAAATTTGGGGAGGCCAGGCACCATGGTTTATACCTGTAATCCCAGCACTTTGAGAAGACAAGGTGGGCAGATTATGAGATCAGGGGATCGAGACCATCCTGGCTAACATGGTGAAACCCCATCTCTACTAAAAATACAAAAAGTCAGCTGGGCATGCTGGCACGTGCCTGTAGTTCCAGCTATTCAGGAGGCTGAGAATCACTTGATTCTCCTTAATTCAAGGAGAATCACTTGAACCCGGGAGGCGGAGATTCCAGTGAGCCGAGATCATGCTGCTGCACCCCAGCCTGGGTGCCAGAGCAAGACTCCACCTCAAAAAAATAAAAAAATTATAAAATAAAAGTTTGAGGAAAATTATTTAACAAGTATGTACTGAGAATCATTCTGTGCCAAACAATGAGCAGACAACAAATGTAAGTTCCTCACAATCCAAAACAAAACAAACATGATCCTTATCATCACGAAGTGCACAGTCAATTGGCTGATGCAGATATTATTAACCCAATAGTTACTGAAAATATGTACAAAACCTCAGCTGATGCAGATGAAGCATCCAGAGTTGTTATAAAGGAAAGATACATGGTGCAATAAAAGTAAAAGTAGGAATTGACCTATTTGGCTCTTAAGAAATGGCTTCCTCAAAGAAGTGATAACTAACCTGAAAGCCATCTACAGAAATAGCACGTGAAAAGTTTTCTGACAGGGAGGGTGAGAACTAAAAAAGACTTGTATGATGTACCTCAGAGAGAAAGTAGGAATGTGGTGCGGGATAGGGCTGGTGAGGAGGACAAGCCTGCAAAAGAGACAGGAAAGGCTGGAGGCAATCTGAGATGGGATAGTTACAGAAGAGCAAAGCAAGGAGAGAGTTCAAGGAGGGGCTGATCAATAAGCCAAATGCTTGAGGGTCAAATAAATAAAGTGAGCTCTGAATAATTCTCATCGGATTTAGCGTCTTCAGGTCATTAATAACCTACAGAGCCAGGGCTGTTTTTGATGGTGTGGTGGAGATGAAAGTCAGATTGAAGCTGGTTTGAGATGAATGTGTAGGGAGAACATGGAAAAAGAAAAAAAAAAACCCATAGTGGTTTTGAGATCCTTAACTGTGAAGGAGAGGAGGAAGATAAAGGGGTGGCAGGGAAAGAGTGAAGGTGAAGGAACTTTTTAAAGATAAGTGCTGCTTGTTTTATTTTATTTTACTTTACTTTATTTTGTTTTTCGAGATAGAGTCTCACTGTGTCTCCCAGGCTGGAGTGCAGTGGCGTGATCTCGGCTCACTGCAACCTCTGCCTTCACGGCTCAAGCGATTCTTCTGCCTAAGTTTCCCAAGCAGGTGGGACTACAGGCGTGTGCCAGCATGTCTGGCTAATTTTTTTGTATTTTTAGTAGAGATGGGGTTTCACCATGTTAGCCAGGATGGTCTCAATCTTCTGACCTCATGATCTGCCCGCTTCGGCCTCCCAAAGTTCTTAGCTCCTATTTGGAAGCTAATAGAAAGGACCCAAATGGGAAACATTACATACACAAAAAGGAGGAGTAGTCAACACTAAAGTTACCGCAGTGGCGGAGCAGATGGAAGCGTTGGCTTTGGAAAGCAAGGAGACAGTATCTTCACTGCAAAGTAGCGGAGGAGGTGATCGTGGGAGCAGAGAAGTAGGTACACAGCCAAGCCCAGCACACACCTTAAATCTCAGGATGGGACTGCTCTGTCCTAGAGCCTACCAGCCCCTGCTGCCTTGGGGAACTTCTTGTATCCAACTTTCTTTCCAGTTCCTACCTGTTGGTATGCTGCGCATAAACACCACAGCCCTTCTTCTTCCTCACTCGCTCCTTCTGTCTTGTCTTTCCCTCCTCCATTCTTCTCCCCCTTCACCTTCTCTTCTTTCTTCATGTCTTTCCCCCTCTCATCCCTTTCTTTTTAGTTTTTGCACCACTAATCCCTTTTCTTCTGTGCTTCCCAGGAAGACTCATAACCCCTCACAACATATAACATGTAGAAAAATGCAGTACCCTCTGTATTTAGCCCCAGTCCTTCAGATGGTGCCTGGCAAGCCCAGCCTTTTTCCACCAAAAGGTTCAAGGTCCAAGATCATTTTTTATCTAAATAGAGCTGAGCCATGCCTCTCCCCAAGAAAGCAAAACTTCCTCTTTTCTTCTATTTTTTTAAATAAAATTTATCCTTCCCAGTGTACTCACCTTACAGAGTTGCTGTAATGATAGTCAAAATATTTAAGTTGTATGGTAAATCACTTCCCATTTTTAAATGGCATAATAAAATCATTTTGCCACCTCATCCTCTCATAAATTACTCTAAAACAAGAAAAATGATCAAGAAAAGTAGACATTTCATCTTTAATAAAACTAAGAAACAGCTATAACCCTGAACCACAATATATAAAAGTATACAGCAGATGGAAGAGTGATGATATGCAGTAACTGATTCACTTTCAATATTTGCATTTAGTTAAGTAACAACCTGAAAGCTTTTCTCTAAGCTATGGACCTATATTTTATGTATATCAGTAAAACTAATGGGTCTATTTAAACATTTTTTCCAAAATAAGGATTAGTCTGTTCATATATAAAGCCAACTTTTATGTCTTAAGAGCTAGAAAATCTCTTGCTTTTTTGGTGATGGTAGCTTTTTATGGCAAACAATCTTCCAGGTTTCTAAAAATATCTTAGGATTTGGTTTTTAAAAACAGGGGCCCTATTTTTTCTTTTTCTTTTTTCCTTTTCTTTTCTTTTTCTTTTTCTTTTCTTTTCTTTTCTTTTTTTTTTTTTGATATAGAGTCTTGCTTTGTTGCCTAGGCTGGAGTGCAGTGGCATGATCTTTGCTCACTGCAACCTCCGCCTCTCGAGTTTGAGCGATTCTCCTGCCTCAGCCTCTTGAGTAGCTGGGATTACAGACTCATGCCACCATGCCCAACTAATTTTTGTATTTTTAGTAGAGATGGGGTTTCACCATGTTGGCCAGACTGGTCTTGAACTCCTGACCTTGTGATCTGCCCACCTAGGCCTCCCAAAGTGCTGGGATTACAGGTGTGAGCCGCTGTGCCCAGCAAGGGCCCTATTTTTTCTAAATACCCTGGATAATTCCCCCTGTAGAATGAGTCATCCACAAGGTCATAACTCTTTCTTTGGTTTATTTCTTAATATGAGAATGGAAAGCTTCCTCATGTCAAATATAGTGTCCACAATCAGATATTACATGTTTACCTTTTGGGTTAAATAAAGTAATTCAAGGGAAACATGGGCTTGAGAACCCTAAGATTCTGCCTGACTTTTTCATCACTAGTGCCATTGGACATTTTTAGCTCAGGCGTCGTACTTCTGTGGCACTTTTCACTGAGCTCATAACCCAGTGGGGGAAGTGCCAAGTTGGCTTCATATATAGGACATTTAGGAATTGTCTATTAAGGGAGTTTAATTGGTCTTCCCTGGAGTAATACAAGTCAGGGCAAGATGTTCTTACTCCTACATAATGAATATTGATACAGGAAGATGAATGATAAGTGATTCCACCCCTCACCCCACAACCCAGTACCTGCCATAAAAAAGATAAAGCGATGTCCAGATACTCAGAACAGGGAGAGCTACACGATTCGCTCTTCTTTTGCTTTATTTGTGTATTAATAGTAATAAGAGAAGTTGAAGAATAGTTTTCCCTCACAGAGTTCCCTCCTGCACAATAAACATGTGGACAAAATTCTTTCTGATCTGCATCAAGCCTCTCTGATCACCCTCAGAGGGAGCTCTGCATGGGAACATTTGCAGAATATTTGATAACTAACTGTGCTGTGGTTTGCAGATATGTGGTGTGTATCCAAGCAAGAAAATTTAGCCTTTGCACTCTGGGAATTGACTGGCCTAATTAGTCGATTCAGACCTTTCATCATGAGAAAACAATTTATGCCTCTCTCGGCCCTATTTATGGTTAATGGGACAAATGAGAAAACAGGAGATTAAGGTAAAGAAGGAGAATGAATTGAGCTGGGACATAAATTTCGGTTACCACTTTGGACTAATTAAAGGATAAGGCTGTTTTGAAACAGTGAAAATTCTAATTAAGGGATATTTTTAAAGAAATGTAATGTTACTTTCAAACATGAATAATTACCATCAATAATGGTTGAAAACAGGCAGAGGTCATCCCAGACCTATTTGGAAGAACAGGAAAGGTTGTTTTCAAATTTGTACATTGCTTGCAGAAACCATTGCTGAAGGGCTTGGACAACTTTGCATTCTTTAAAAGGATATCAACAATAATGTGGACTCTCTTTTTGTGGCGCCCAGAAGTTAACTTCTTCCCTCCATTTATTCATTCATTCAACAGATATTTTTTGAGAACATTTTAAGTATCAGGATACAGAACTGAACAAAAAAGAAAAGAATCTTGTCCTTCATGGAGCTTTGAGAGAAATAGGCAATAGGCAAGTACATCATTAAAATGTATAGCATGTCAGATGCTGTTGTGTGATAGGGAGAACATAAATTGAGTGGCAGGAGAATAGGAAATAGTGGGAGGGGTAAAAAGACGTGGGAGGGGTAAAGAGACAGGGCAGGGTTACAGTTTCAAATAGGAAGCTTGGAATAGGCTTTTTGGAGAAAGTTATGTTTGCGTAAAAGCCTGAAGGCCATTGGGAAGCAAGCCATGAATTCACGAGAGAATAAGTATTCCAAGTAGAGGGAAGAGCCAATGCAAAGGCCCTGAGGCAGGAACACTTTGGGCAAGGACCAGAGGTAGTAAGAAGACTGGTGTGGATGGAGTAGAGTGAATCAGGAAGAGAGTTTTATGGATGAGAGAGGAAATTGGTAGAAATGGGGGAATCAGACTGCATAGGGCTGTCTAGGGGATTATAAAGACTTCACTGATGCTTCAGACCATGCAGGTATATGCATTAAGAAGTATAGCTTATGCCTTTTTCTAATTTAAAAGTTGGATTTGGTCAAAGTCGCTAGCCTTTGGGTAGTCTCAAACATGCTAAGGTGACTCCTAAAATAATTACTTAAGTAGCAGGTGATGAGAATTGCTCTGAATGTCTAAAGTTGCAGATCTCATTCCCAGTCAAAATTGCTAGTGAAAAGTAACCTACCTGACAAAGAATGATCAGAGAGGCTTGGTGCAGATCAGCAAGAATTTTGTCCACACGTTTATTGTGCAGGAGGAAACTCTGTGAGGGAAAACTATTCTTCAACTTCTTTTATTACTATTAATATACAAACAAAGCAAAAGAAGAGCGAATCGTGTAGCTCTCCCTGTTCTGAGTATCTGGACATCGCTTTATCTTTTTTATGGCAAGTACTGGGTTGTGGGGTGAGGGGTGGAATCACTTATCATTCATCTTCCTGTATCAATATTCATTATGTAGGAGTAAGAACATCTTGCCCTGACTTGTATTTCTCCCCAAAGAAAAGCAGCATTTAACTATGGGAATGTTTAGAATTAGTATAAAAATGCTTAGGGGAATCAGAACCATAGTATTTATTTTATGTTTAGAATTTATGCATAATTAGTATTACATATATCATTTCAAATATATAACAATAGATTTTGGTGAATATTTCTAAGGTTATATATAGCACTAGAATATTAAAACAATCTAGTTTTACCATATAAAGTTAATTTGATTTATCTGAGTTTCTTAAGTATTTTGCAAGGGTCTATCATTCAGAAATTTTATCTTAAAAGGAAATACAATGTATTAAATTTGTAAACAATGTTTGCATATTGAATGTGTTTAGGTTACCAAGTTTATAAGTGGAAACCAGCTGGTACTGTTTAAATCTCTTATAACAAACAGTTGTAAATTTGCTAGATTTTTAAATTAGAATAAGAAGTTGAACATAAAAACTCCAGGAAGAATTCAACATCTGTAACTTTAAAAAATGGTTATTAATAAAGTATATCGAATAATCTTTTCTGCACACAAAACTACCCTTAATTGTACCAGAATGCTTCAGTTTATCAGCATCGTTTACTGTGTAATTTCTAAAACTCCATTTTCTTGCCTTGTTCCTTTCACTGCACTTTTTCCCACTCACACACCTTCAGTTGCAGCACATATTTTAATGAAATTACTATTTAGAAAAAAAAAAAAAAAAGATTTCATGTAGGATCCTGAAAAATTTCTGGGTGTACCTAGAGGGAATTGTGCGGCAGTATTCATGCTGTCTTTTATGCCTTTGGGTGGGTTTTCCTTTGTTAATAATTGTTCTTCTGGAAAACTGGAATGCAGCCCAGGCAGAATTAATTTACAAGATTACAAGTTATGCACATCTCTTCTGGAGCAATTGGCCTTCCATTACACACCTTATTTCCTAAAATGTATCATTTTATAACAAGAAATGTACCTTGTATGATAAAGAACATTGTGCTCCAGCTTGTGTCAGGCTAATGAGATATGAATTAAAGGATAATATGTATTCACCTGAATTAATTAGATAACTATGTTGCTCCATTTGAGGGGAGGCATTTTTAAATAGTCTTGAAAATTACATTATAATCTACATCTTGAATTTCTGTTTTTGGTGCCCTTTGAAGCAAACCACTTCTTGTGATGACTCACTCTGTATACTTCTGGATCTTCAGCCATGTTTGGGCCAAACTTCAGAGCTTTTAGGATCTGGCTTTAAGAATGAAAACAGGCCCCTAGAGTTTGTTTGTTTATACATATTTATTTTTTCTCCCCAAACATATTAAGAAAGAAAAGAATTGTAGACATTTAGAAAGATTAGCTTAAATAGTGTTTGAAGACTTATACATTTAGCTTTTATATTCATCTTTTATCATGCTGTTTATTCCTTAGGTAATTCGTCAGTTCATGATTTTTGACATTACAATTTTATGACTTTTTGGTTTTTTTGTATGCGTGTGTAGTGGGGAGTTTTCTGTAATAGGAACACATGTTTTTGCTAATATCTGCAGGGGGAACTGGTGGAGATGCTGCCAAATGGAGAAATCACTACCTGAATGCATGCCAGTGAAATAAAACTCGAGAAACTACATGCACAGCAATGATCAAATACTGTCAATTACTAGAGCATTTTTTCAAGGAAAAAAAGGTTTGATAAAACTGAATGTTTTTTGTAATTGGAGGGAAAAGCTTTGGTCTTTCCTGTTTTACCTGCGCTTCTTCAAGAGGGCTTCCTGGCACCAGCAACATTTTCACCCCAGGAAAGGGCATTTCTTCTGCTCCAGGCCCTCCAAATCCTGTCCCTGTCCCAACCTCCTCCTCTCCCAGTTCAGTAAGAGTGTTTCTCTCATAATTCCATGGAAACTTGTGCCTATCTCTATTCTGA